TATCACACAAGATAATGATTACGTAAAACGCTTATAATCAAAATGAAATGCATATTATCATGAGGGATAATAAGGGTTCATGGAAGATGTCGTCGCTGCAGTGGGCAGACATATATATATATTTATATATATATATATATAATTTCAAAATTTATCCTATCGAATAAACATTTTTCAATAAAAAACATTATGTACAGGACAGGCAGTAAAAGTGATGATCAATCAGGGAGGGAGAGAGACAGAAAACTGAAAATCAATCAAACTAAATTGGACAATAACTAGATTGAGCCACACGATACATCGTAAAACCTGAGACTAAGAGATACGAAGAAATGTGTCTACTACTACAGAAAGAAAGTATAATTGATAGGCACATCATGTGTAGGCAAATAAAATTAACAGACAGATTTCTGAGTAGAACCACTGAGAAGGCAATGATGAAAGTAGATTTTGTCAAAGATTGATATGGGTGGTTAGAAAATCACTGAAAACCAGTGAACACTTTATAATTACTTTCTCTTAATTAAGGACTCTTGATCAGTATGCAATTGTGATCCCAGTAGAGATCCAAACAAGGACTTTCAGGTTGCCAGAGAAGCATACTGCCATTCGTTCCACCGATGGATCGAACCAGATGGCCATAAATTATAACCATCATTAATTCCTAACAGAGCACTACAAACACTCAATAGCATCGGACCTCACACACCAGACTTGGTAGCTCCCAATCGGTCATGGAATTCCAAAGACGTCATCCCGTAGTCGGTCATCCATGAACAGTGTATTAATCTGTACGTGTTTTTATAGTGAAGATTTCATTAAATTCAAAGTAGTCTTCGTCCCGAACTAAGACAAATAACTGCCCAACTGCCTACTAGTTTTCAATGGTCTTTTAACTGATATCTGTTACTGATAAAATCTTTACAAACTAAACCACTTGAAAAGAGAAGGAAATAGCTTTAATAAGTACATAAAGTAATTCATAACATTAACTTCCCGAATATGATATTACTAGATGATAGAACGAAGTAGTTAAACCTGTACCTTAACTTCATCGACTTCGAAAAGGCCTTCGACAGACAGCGTTGACAGAGAAGTAATTTGGAAACTACTTCAACACTACAGCGTGCAACGCCCAAGTCTTTATCAACCTCATTCAACAGCTATATGACAATGCCACGTATAAAGTGATCCATAAGGAGAAACTCAATGGGGCGTTCGAAGTGAATACAGGGGTAAGACAAACTGGCTGCCCCGTTATCACTAGTAATATTCTTAATTGTGGTGGACTGGATTCTGTGTGAGACTGTTGGGGTGAAGAGTCAGGAAGACACTGGACGACCGATAAGAAGACTCTAGAAGATCTGAATTTCTCAGATGATTTGTGTTTCGCATTTGTTAGTTTACGCCGACTCTGGCGTAGACGAGATGTTCGACTATTGAACAAAGGGCGGGTGTACTGCTCATCAGTCCGCTCCGTCCTCCTTTACGGGATGTGAGACCTGGCCACTGAGAGTGGAAGACATGAAAAGACTAGCTGTCTTTGATCATAGGTGCCTGCGTTCTATTTCCCGTGTAAAGTGGCATAATAAGGTGAGCAACATGGAGGTTAGGCGTAGAGTTCTAGGTAAACAGGGGAAATCAATCGACGAAGTCGTGAAGCTACATAGACTGAGATGGTTAGGACATGTGTTACGTATGCCAAGTCATCGCCTCCCTCGACGAGCTATGTTAGCGGATATAGGGTCAGGCTGGAAAAAAGCTAGCGGCGGTCAAACAAAAACTTGGTACCAGTCAATGAAATCCACAACAGTTGGTCTTAGCCACGTAGAAAGGTGTAGACTTCCAGGCTGGGGTCCTCGGGACGGTAAAAATCTATGGTTGGAAACAATTGGTGACATGGCTCAAAATCGTTCTCACTGGCGCAGATGCATCCACTCCCTGTGACTTATGATCTTCAATGAAACTGTTTTGTATTTCTTTATTACTTCTTTGTCTCACACCTCTGCTCACTGTTTCTATTATGCTTTTCTTGTACTTTCTTCTCTTGCTTCGCGTGCTACACGGAATGTGGCGACTTGAACTTCCGCACATTTGTGCAAAGTTCTATGTCGAAAACAGACAGACAGACAGATGATTTGTGTTTAATGTCACACAAACTCGAAGACTTGCAGGCGAAAACCAACAAACTAGCAGAGGAGGCGGCAGTAAAGACAGGATCGCAGGTGAACATAGAGAAGACGGAGGTGATGAAGATAATTAACAACTAGCAGCAATCACTGCTAACAGGAAAGATTTGACAGAGGTAACTTCTTTCACCCATCTAGTAAGCAACGTTTCGACCACGAGATGAACGGTAGAAATAGCAGAGCTGGTCAGAATTGGAAAGGCAATATACGCCGTCATCTACCTGAAACCAGTTTGGAAATCTTCTGCACTCAGCCAGCACAAAGAACAAGATTCGGATTTTCATCACCAAAGTTAAGACAGTCAGTTCTTCAGAACGGGTTAAAAACTTGCACTGCGCGTCACGAAAAGGATTTCCAACCAGTTACAGACCTTTATCAACTGCTGCAACCTTCGCTGGCTAGCTCCATACTGAAGATCAAATGACCTGTCGGCAAGAAATAAATTAGTAACAAGAAACCCTGGATGGAACAAACCAACCAAGAGCCAAGTTCTCAACAAATATGTAGGAGAAAATGGAGATGGATCGGGTATATATGAGGAGACCGTCGAATGACATCGCGCTCAATGCAAGCCATTGCTCGAGTGAAATCCACATAGGAAGCGACGAGTGAGTAGTCGGTGTGAGGTTGACATGGAGGAGATCGCTTAAGTTGAAGGAGATGAGAGATTATGGGCGATCGTTGACCCAAGTAAAAGTACAACAGAAAATAGAACAAAGTGGAGATGTGTTGATGAAGCCCTATGTTGCACTCGGAACCCAAGAGAACAATAATATAAAATAAATAATAAGATGATAGAACACAGAATTTGTTATGATCACTTTGAAAAGTTCTACAAACGAAAGTGAAGTCATTTAACTACAGACTTCTGTACAGGGAGTTGTCAGTAATTTCGAAAATAAGTCATCTCATCTGTTACCGATGAAGATAGGTTTATTTAAGTAGCTGGTCAAACGAGCAAACATCTTAAGTACCACGTCAGAAAGCCTAAGTAATGCAATGAAACAGTTAGAAGGAGTAGTGTTGCTAATCAACTACCTATAAAATACATTAAGAGATTCAAATCTCACAATCAAAGAAGAAATATTAATGAAACTACTGACCATAACATAAGAAGAAATGTGAAATACCAGTAATGTTGCATATAAGGAAGAAAAATCACAAACCCTATGTGAAATCTTCCTAAATTAGGAGTTATGGTGGCATTTAAACCTACAAGCTTACTCAGGAGCAAACTGAAAGACCCTACCGATCTGATAAGGCAAAATAGCATCATTTCTATGAAATACCTTACTATAACTGTGACAGCAACTACACAGTTCAGTCAAAATTACTTAGGTGTTCGGGAAGTAGGCATTTGGTTGTGTAGAGTGATTGACACCAAAAGTATGACTAACTCATCAATCACAATGCATGCATTAACACACAATCATACGCACTAAGGGTGAAAGAGACCTACACTTCTAAAAGTAATGTAGTTAGGTGGGGGATAGGTTGACCACACTTGAAATAGGAATGATGCAACACCAATAAAAAAAAAGATATGGAAAAGACTACTACCAATAAAATCAAAAAAATAAGAAATAATGAAACTACATAAACAAAATCTAAAAGTTATGTAAGCACTTTGATATAACAGTGAGCAATAAATTGTGCCTGAAAAATCAACAGTAAATAATACTGTATCACTATATGTTTTATCGAAATCAACATAGCCCAAAGCGAGCTTTGAAAACAGAAAATAAAACGAAGGAGATGTAAAACAAAGTTAATAAATGTCTAAGAACAAGCATTAATTTAAATTGTTAGATTGTTGTCAAGCATCAACATCAGTCAGAAAGATGAATGAAAACCGGGGAGTACTGGCAAATGTTTCCTCCTCATCTGGGACGCCTCATCAATGTGCACCCAGTACTGTGTCAGGCGTCGAATCTACGACCTTTAGGTTACAAGACCATGGTCGTTGATTAGTTAAGCCACTTCGGCTGGAATTCCTATGAACGGAATAACCAACAACAAAACAGCTCTTTTCTGAGTAGTAGTTTGCGAGGATTTCATTGATTTCAAGTCCAGTCAGTTACAGAACCACTGAAAACTATTTCGTCCCAGTTTGAAAATCTTCAACAGTACACATCTACCTAGTTGTATATGAACACAAATACTGACTAGTGACATTGGCTATCGATTGCATTGTATATGGTGGAATTGGTAAAAGTTAGAATTCATGAGCTGTGTCATTAGATTCCGCTCCAAGTGTCTGAATGATCCACGAACCCGTCTCATAATCTGAAATCCCTAAGTTCGATCCCTAGTTTTAGAGTCATGAATGAAGAGTCAGTTCAAAACTAAAATGAAACAGTACTAGTTTCTAATGGTTCACTAAATGAATTTAGCTCATGCATAATCCAACTTAAAGCTAATCAAATCCCTACAGATGAACACTTGAAACCAGATTTCTTTTTCTGTGATTATTCTTTCTCCATCTCTCTCTCTCTCTACTTCAGTCATATGAAAAGCAGAAGAATTAAATTTAAAAGAAAGAATAATAAGGTTAAACAAAAACAAACAATTTAAAGGCATCACAAGTAGGACACTTATAACTAACTTTTAATACAATCATTTCAAACTAACAGAAGCAACAGTCGAATCTGTTTCTATGCTATCAACCAAAGAAGAAAACTATTTTTTCTTCTAAAGAATAATAAACAAATAACTAAAATGAGTAGTATTAATGGACACTGATACATAAACACGCACACTCACACACACGCGAACAAACAGATACATATACACAATTTTTTTTTCACTTACGAACAACATCAAGTAAATCTGGATAAGCTTCATAGGTGATTAATGGGACAGGCAATTGACGTAGAAATGATTTAATCAAACTTGTCAAAGCATTGATATCACGTACACGAGCCTCGGATATATTGGCTAATTCTGGATCTGATTAATTGAAAAGACAAAAAGAAAAAAGAGAAAGAAGAAATCAAACAGCGATATAGATACCTATCATTTAATAGAAAAAGATATATTCAATGGTAACATTAAAACCATTCTGAATGACTATGTGTATGTTAGCCTAAATTAGACTAACAATAAAAACTGTTTGTTTAAACAGGCTTTTTGTGTACCAGATTGTTATTTTTTTTCATCAATTTGTGTTCTGAGTGGAACATAGAGCTTCAAACTTCAGCTGCAAAGTTTAAGTGGCGGTGATATTCTTTTTCACGGTGTCGGGGAGCTAGTCTCACAATTGACTTGCCTTTTTCTGTTGCACTTACTGTTGATTAACTGAGGTTTGGGAGGGCTGTCAGCTAAAAATCGAACCTGGAGCGCCCACGTGGTTGGTGAGCATTATAACCGAACTTCAATGAACTTTAGAAAAATAAGTAAAATAATGAGAATTTAATAGATCTATGACTTTGTAAAGAATAAATGCAGTTGCGCCACTGAAGGCTATTCTAAGTCATTCCACTCCGTAGTCTCCAGAGATCAGTTCTTAGTGTCTCGAGGACCCTAACCAGACAGTCTACACGTCCCTATAAAACTCAAACTAATGACATCACGGATTGATGCCACGTTTCTGTCTGGCTAATCCTAAGGCTTTTCTAACTGAATCCAACTTAATATTGTTCAATGAGAAAGGCGGTGGCTCGGGATACGTAACACGTGTCGTATCCGTTTTAGTTGATGCAGCTTCACGACCTCATCAACTGATTTCCCTCTTTAGCTTACACTCTACGCTTAACCTCAGTATTACTCACCATATTATACCACTTAACACAGGAGATGGAAGGCACTGGGTATTGCTGACGGACACCAAGCAAGTGGTCGAGGTTAGACTCCTGGCCGGTATAATTCTAAACCTCGCATAGACTATAGCGAATTCAGTAAAGAGGAAAGGGTGACACGTGAGGCTAACAACTTCACTTTGCAAAAATAACAAACCCTCTACTGAAAATTCAAAGTTTAAAGCTTGAATTCCAATATCCCACTAGGAACACCAAAGAATGAGAAAAAAGCGTTAATTTTCACCCACCCACTCACCTTTCCGAGTACATTTGACAAAGGCAATATTATTTTACCCCGGTTCTCTCGTTTTGTTTGTTGGTCTTATTTTTCATAGCGCACAGTTAAACTGAACTTTATTTGTCAGTCGAATTAGTAGATAAAAGAGCTAAAATCTCCTGAAGTTTTCCGTAGCAATCTCTACCAAACGCCTGAAATCCAGTTAATGTGTTCAGAAAGAAGCAGTTAACAGTCTTTCCTTGCAAATCTTGGCAACTGGATGGTTTCATTCTCTCTCTCTCTCATTTGATCACACAATCTTTGGCTTTAACCTCACCGCCCTCCTTGATATATCATAATTTTCCTTATCTCTTGTTCCAATGATATGGGTTGAACTCAGTACATTGTTAACCAACTTATTAATTACTAATCGTCTTACGCACCTCTCGTCTTTATTACCTAGCTCCTTTACCATTGTATGCATATATTTATTTTGTTTAAACTTCAACTCCCTGTAGAAAAACTATACAAGTGTAGTCTCTAAGCACCGTTCACTAAGCTCAGAACCTCCTGTCAACTGATATCATGTGCAAATTGCAAGTTTGTCAAAACGTTTCTGTATATAAACTTTATTTTTTTTTATTTTTGATTTACAGCTTGATTCCACACTGTATTTTTGGTACAAGTATGGAATTTTCAGTATGGATATCGGTAGCCCAAATTTTGCAGGCCGACCATAGATATCAGGTGTGCGCCGGCGTGGGCTCGAACCCCGGACCATGTGCATGGTCGGCGAGAGTCCTAACCACTGTGCTAGACTGTAAGCAGCTGATGAGAAACCAGCGAAATAAATGATGGCGGCATATCATTCTGCACAATCTATCGTTCTTGATTTATTCAAATAACGTATGTATGCAATTGACGCTTAACACAATGGTAAGATGTGTTTACATTATACCAACTTTTATATTCTGTAGGATATATGGTTATCAAGTAACGCGAATAGTAATATTGATGCTTTAAGTAGTCTTGATAATAAAGCATTCAAATTATCTATGTGCACGTGCATATGCTAAGGCGAGGGTAGAAATTTGAGACACCACACAGATTAAGGCAATGCTTGCAGATCTTAAGGCCAGCATGACCTAGTAAAATAATATGACCTCCTTTTTTATAAATTTATATAGTCAGCTGAATCATTTCGCGTAAGATGACGAACTGACTGATTGACTGCCTGACTGACCCCATTAATTTGTGCATACATACTACATATGTATATAGGTAAATAAACAGATAATGCCACTCACTATAAACTCTGTGTTGAAGACTTAATTAATCAATATGCACACAACCCACAAAATTTTATAACTGAAACTATTTTGCTCAATATTATATTAGTCTTAATAAATTTATACTGATAAAGTTAATATGCAAATAAGAAAACAGATAATTCCATGAATATATAACTACTACTATATACTATAAATACACAAGACTGATAGTTCTAATGATATTATCTTACGATTAACTTATAACAATACTGTTTTTCGATATTGTTCTTATGATATATACAATAGTTTTGTAGGGATTCGATTAGTTTCAAGTTTGCCCACGGATTGATATCAGTTACAGAACCATTGAAAATTAATCTGATGCTCCTTAGTAGTGACTGACTGACTACACAACGAAGTTGTCTTGAGTTCTAGTCAGAAGTCATCACCAGTGCAGTCCATCCGGTGCCGAGTGAGAACAAATACTCGCCAATGACATTGGCTGATGACAGTCACGTCAAAATCACGAATTGGTAGAAGTTGGGATTCATGGGCTAATCATTGAGTTGGGTCACAGTATCTCAATGGTCTACAAGTTTTTTTTGAATTTGTTTACCTTTTTCTTACTTTTGTGGGCCATATAGTGTGGTAACTTGAACTGCTACAGGTTTGCACAAACTACTATGTTGGAACTCAGTCAATCAGATTACAGGATGCCCATTTCGATCTGTTTGAGACTCGTCAGCTTAATGCACCTGAATCTCCAATGAATGGTAGTGTTTGACGTTTGAGTCATCATGGGAACACTGTCAACCACTAAGGATGCAGATGCATTAAGGAGACGAGCCCCAAATACAACGAATCAAACCGTTATGGACCCCACTGATAGCTACATCATCATCGTTGAGGAGTCTGCATTAGGACAGAAGCGAAGCCAACGTGTTAACAAAAGGCCAGGCAGTATGGTCCATTAACAAGACACGCAATCTCCAAAGTAAACACACCCACACAAAGAAAAACTTAAACTGAACCAACCTTTATCAAATTCGATACGTAATTCTTCGACTAGATCATAATTTCCAGGGATACGATAAAGACCTTCACAGAATAATCCACCACGACGTTCTATTTCTTGAATACATTTAATGAGAAGTGTTGGCACAGCCCTAAAAATAAGCCAACAAACAAACAACAATTATATAGCAATAGGCATAGGGACAATTCGAAGTTGAATTATTTACTTGAAGAGGCAAAACTGCACACTTATCGATTCTTTTTCTTTCTTAAATTTAGAAATTGAAAGTTGAAAAACACTTAGTGCGACCACTTTTATTTGTTTTGCTATCCTTTTATACTTATTTAAAAAAAAAGTTTTTTCCAGATGTTAAATAATGTAAACAAACAAAAAGTTCAATACGCCTTCCATTTCGATTCATGCTGTTTTGGAAGAATTTACAAAATAGCAATAATAATGACCCGTTTCGATATGGAAAAAATATTGACTTTGTTTTTAGTGTGTCCTTCAAACAACAAAGGGGAACAGTAATAATTTAATGGGTCATGAAAATAAAAGGTAACAAAAGACAATTTGAAGTAGAAAGTACTTTCAAGGAACAATTTTTTCCAATGCTAAGTATTCGTAAACAAGTAAATATGTTCGTAAACGGCTTATAGAACGAGTCAAAAATATCATTTTCTATATTTGTTTCAGTTCCGAGTGGAACATAAGGGTTTTAAGCTTTGATGTTTCAGCAGTGGGGTTGCTAGACTAACGCCCAACTTTCCTGCTTTACCCGACTGGCTTACTACCGGCTAAATGAGATATACGAATGAGTCGGTCAGGAATCGAACCTCAGCCAGCTGCGAGCATTCCACCATTTAAACATCGATGAGTTTTAATTTATAAAAAATGTCTATGAAATAGTCTACTTCAAGAACAAAACGGTCCCAGGAACAGATTTATATCCTCACAAAGACTTAAGTCTTTCTCTTGAAACGTTGTCGTGTAGCCACGGGTTCATAGCCTCTACTGCGTAATTTTTATTTACTGCCTTCACTCGGATAGTGCCCCTCAGAAAAGTGAAATGGCGAATTCAAATGTCTGGAGCTTGCAATCGAACTGGTGGACATGCTGGTTTACTTAGGAGGAATGGAAAGTCGTAATTCCAAACCTATGGTGTACATGAACTCCAGATTCCGAACGGATAGAATGGCATATGGATGTGTTTTAGTCACCGGGACGCAGAAGAACACAGCTCTTGATGCTGCTTTATTGCCTGGTGAATCAGACTTCAAATCGAAGACTTTGGGGGTAGCCTCTTAAGACAACCATCTTCCTCGGTTCGGACGTCCGAGCAGTATCGTGCCATCGTACAAACTTTAAGATTTTGTGTGACGTATCTCCTAGTAGCTATAATGTATCAAGTTTTTTTTAATAATTATAATAAGGTGTAAGTGTGTTTGATGAAGTTGGAGAGGCGTGTTTCATTCCATCTGAGACTCATCATCAGAATGTACCTGCATCCTAGTAAGTAATGGTGTTCTATCCACTAATACCTGAATCTAGCATTGGTTGTTTCAAACACAAAACTCCACGAAAGACATCATCCTTTCAGCAGATAACAATTGTTAATGGCTGAAACTTTACATTCCACACTTCTTTAACGAACAAATGTATAAATTAGCCATAATGACATCCGTTTTTTCGTATTTATTTCAATTTGCATACAAAATTAGGGTTAGTATTCATAAAATGAACCTCCACAGCCTTTTTCTTCCATCTGGTTCCACGGTTGACCACAATTTTTTATTTCCTCCTAACATAACCTCCTCTGTAAAATTATATTTGTAAAATCACAGCGAAATTGAAATGATTAATTCCAACGTTTCGTTCAGCAATCTGGTTCGAACTTCTTCAGGGAAATTAATCACAACCCCTATGTCAACCCTCAAACGCCCAGTTCTTAGTTTCCCATTCACATTCCAGTCTAGAGCCTGGAGCATGCTGATTCCCAACGGTCTCCTTAGCCTACATCGAATTCATTTCAGACTTTATTCTTCACATTTGTTGAATAATAGACTCTAGGTCGGTTCAATGTCACAGCTCCTTGTTGCTTATCCTTTCTAGTCTGCCATCTAACCTTTAGGGATAAAGAGCGTAGGGGGTCAGCTACTGACGAAAGTCTGTAGACTGTTAGAAATCCTTTTCATGATGCGTGAGGCAAGTCCCTGAACCATATAGAAGCACTGGCCGAATCGAAATTAGTGTTAAAAATTCCAATCTTGATGTAGTTGTGTTCTCTGAACTAGCTGGATAGTTTATTTGCGAAGCTTTCATTGCCCTACTAGACAACATCTTCAGCGCATACTTCAATCTGTTGAAGTGAGCTTCTCGATTTCTCCATGAGTTCATGAGTCATCTCCTCTGACTGGTAACCTTGTATGTGATTGGTTCTTTGTGTGTTTTCACATCATCTAGGTAACTTTTATTGGTACTGATTGTTTCCTTGACGTGAAGCTTGATCCTTTGTGTGTGAAGATTTCCCCTTTATCGAATGGTAGATTTTGTCTATGTCAGTGTGTCTATTGATTAACGATTCACTGGAATATCTGACTTCTAAAAATTCTCTAGCATTCTTGATGTTTCCTATGTCTAATATTTGAACGTTGCCGCAACCGAATTGATGTCCGTACTTGCCTGTATGCTGCGACATAAGAGAATGAATGTCATGTCCGTTCACAGCTAGCCATCAATCAATAAAAAGGAAATCTCAGACACAAGGGGTCAAACTTCAGGTCCAAAAAACAATCAATACCAATACGAGGATGTGAAAACACACACAAAACAACTAATCACGTTCAAGATCACCCACCAGGAGAGATGACTTATAAACTCATGAAGAAATTTAGAAGCTCACTTCAAATTGAAGTATGTGCTGAAGGTGTTGCTTAGTTGGGCAATGAAAGCTTAGCAAATAAACCATCCAGTTCAGACAACACAACACATCATCCACCTTAGCTACAAATGTTCTCCATTATATCTAAATCCGAATCTTTTTCCTCATGCTAAGTGCTATATGTATATGAAATAACGTCTACAGATGTCAATAATTTACATATGTCCTATAACAGGAAGGGGAAATTAAACAGAAACAGATATAAAATATACAAAAGAGTGGGATGGAATGAATGACAGACACAAGTAGCAATTATGTGTGTGAAAAAAAAATTACAGTGGTTACATTTGCACTGAAGGTGGTGATGGTGGTATTTCTATTTTAGGACACTTGAATAAATCCGTATCACAATGACTGTCTGAAACCCTGGATGATACATTTCATTTTTATTGTAAAGCAAAAAACCCATCCACTGGTATATCTACGTGATTGTATCTCAGATATATATATATATATATATATATATATATATATATATATATATATATATATATATATATATAGGGAAACGTCGATTGATTGGACCGAAGTGCTCGATCTCAGGTTGACATGTCAGCTCCTTGTGCAAATGCTTCGATGATATCTGGTCATGTGACCTGATGTCAACTGGTGGATAGTGACTAGCAGCGGAATCCGCTTGGAAGAGCAAAATCTAAATTGAATTAAATAATTAATAAAACCTGTTGCACAAGAGGTGACTCTCCTGGCCCAAGTGGTCTCGTATGTGACGCTTTGGCACTTGAAATTATGGGCACTGGGTTCGAACCTCGGTTGGAACACCATCACTTACTGAGGAATGCAGGTGCATCCAGATGATGAGTCTAAAATAGAATACACATCCTGGATTCCACAGCTAGTCACTATACACAAAATGACTTCAAATAGTGGAAACCATTTAGAAATGATAGTTCTTAAAAAACAAAGCATATCGCTTGAGCTTAATGACTTATTCCTTGTAAATCATTACATAGTGTGAGCTTAAAGTGTACATACACATGATCCCTGTTTTTTATCAGTATTATCCTGATTATGTTGCACAATACCATGATGATGATGATGGTTAGACGGAAAATGCGTGATTCAACTTGTCAAGTTACAAAACTGTTGACAAGAGAGTTGTAGTCAAACTCAAACAAAAGCGTAAATAACGTGTATAGTCATGTGAACGTGTGAAACTACATTTTTGACTATTTCACACACATAATCAGTCACACGATAGCAGCGTGAAGCACATGTTCATCATTGGATAACAATCAACATTTATGATTTGAATAGAAAAGGATGAATTCAATAGCTGCAGATTGAGCACGAAATCAGTTAGGCTTTAAGACTTACAAATTCAAATTTAACGCCAATATCTTTTTTTCATTCAACAAGCTACATGATGATGCCTTTGAGATAAGACAAGACTGCCTACTATCACCATAGACATTGTTGATTGTGATAGACTGGATTATGTAGTAGAACGTGAGTAGAACGTTCGGTCGATAGGAAGACTGTAGAAAATCTGTACTTCGAGGATGAATATCTATAAGCGAAAACCAACAAGTTGGCAGAAGAAGCAGGCAGCGAAGACAGGACTTTGAGTGAACATAGACGCTACAAAGGTAATGAAGATACACGGTCACCACCACCACCACCACCAACAACAACAACAAGCAAAAATCACTTTCGACGGGAGAGATTTGAAGGAGGTTATCACTTTCATTTATCTCGGCAGCATCCTTTCGACTACAGGCAATCGATACATGTGAAGATGTCGAAACCATAATCAATTGGAAAGGCAAAACAAATCTTCATCACACTGAATTCAGTTTGGAAATATTCTGCACTCAGCATAAAGAACAATATTCAAATTTTTAACACCAATGTTAAGTCAGTCACTTCTATATATGGAGCGTCATAAAAATAATTTCCAACAGTCTAGTGTTAGCATAAAAATAAGATTCGAATTTCCAACTCCAATGTGAAGTCGGTGCTACTATGCGGATCAGAGACTTGGCGCGTCATAAAGAGCACCTCAAACAAACTACAGACCTTTATTAACAGTTGTCTTCGCTCAATGCACAAGATCAGATAGCCAAAAAAGATCAGCAATAGAGATCTCTGGGAGCGAACCAACCAGGATCCGAGTGTGCAACAAATAAACAGGAAGAAATGGAGGCGGATTGGATTGGCCATAGTCTGAGGAAACCATCAAGTGGCATCAC